GGGGAGGTATCGAGAGAAAAGAAAGGCAAAGATTGACTCAACCCAAATTGTCTCGAGAAAAGCTCGGGGTAATAGGTGACAAGCTTAAAATCCTTCGATTGAAAACCCGATACCAAAACATCATGGGTCAAATAGTTACTCCATACACCTATCAGTTCTGATTGCAACCCAGGAGTCGAGGCAGGAAATTTCGATTTAAACCAAATCGGCCCCCTAAGTTGGTCACTTGTTCTTCCAAGATTTACAGTAAATGGGGCCAAGGTTGAGTCGAAAGTGAATCTGGTTAACAAAAAATGAAGGTATTTACAGTAGGTAGTTTCATCAGATTTATGACGAGGGTGACGAGAGGATAATCGGGCCCCTTCTATATTTACACTCGGAGGGACGGAAGAGATTCGAGGAAGGACGCTTTCAAAAATTGAAGTAAGCCACAACTGTACAAACCAAACAGGGCCTGAAAAATTCCCCGACGCTTTAGATGTGTTCAAAATTTCGACAGCCTCGTCGAAAGTAGCATACACATGAGCTAGTAGTAGTTTAGCCAAACATATCGTAGGCCGACCTATGTGTAGGACATATGCAAGATCAAACAAATGGGGGAGATTTGGATGGATCGGGGGCAAAATACATGAGTGCATAGCCAATACACCAAAAATGCTACATGCTCTTCATCAGTAACAGATATCGAAGGGTCATCAACAAAATGTTTCTCGATGAAATGTCCGTAAGCCTTCGATTCCCAATCAATTTTGGACCGCAAAGAGCTACTCGAAGGATATGCACCTTTAATATACTTCTCCCCTATGGGCTTCAACCCAATAATAGCCGCAATCTCGAAAAGGGTAGGCGACAGAGGACCACAAGGCAACTCCAAAGCATGTAGGTCCTTGTTCCATAAATGCACCGCAGAGCCATGTCCAAAAATGATAGATCGCATCGAGACAGATGCAAAAAGTCGAAAATTCCTATATCCCTCCAATGGTTCCCAAACTTGGCTTGTACCCTATCGAACCACCTAATAAATTGAGGCTTTTTGGAAGGAGGGCCCGTTCTATACACTTTAGAAGTAAGATTCGTAAAATCAACCCTAACTTCAGTGTTGATGAACCAAAGCCGACTAGTTGAGAGGTTAAGAGGAGTAAAAATGTCATCGATAGGACTGGAGAGGACCCCCAAAAGCAAAATTTACCCCTTCAACAAGTATAAGGAATAAGTACCGCGTCTCAAGCAATCTTGCGGGAAGCCTCCTCCATCGAGGAACCTGGAGCGAACCTCCGGTTGTTGATCTCCAGCAGAGTTAGATGGCAATGAAGAAAGGGGTGGAGCGTAAAAGTCGAAGATTTTGATGAGCCGGCCATTGTAGTGAATTTAGGAAAACGAAAAGGGAAGAGTTAACGGATGAGGTAAGAGGAACGAAGGCAGGAGCTCAAGGAAGAAGATGAAATTGCACGTAAGGTAATGGGTCGCGTAAAAACCAGAGTGAAGACTAAGGGAGAGGTTAAGGGTAAATCGTATAGGGAACTGGAACGATGGAGGTGAAAGGTAATAAATGCAGCAGATCGGGAAGGCAAGCAGATCGACGAGACAACGACATAAAGCAAAAAGAAACCCACAACCCTTTTAAACCCTAGAACCCCGTAAACCCTAAACCCTAAATCCCGTGGGCTTTCAAACACTAAGGCGGAATATTGAAAGAATATAAAACGTAAATCATTTATATTCTTCCAAGGGGGCATTTTGTTAGTGGCAAATCGAGAAAAGCGATCGAAATCGAAGGGAAGAAATATGACTCGATAAGATAAACAAAAAGTTCATTCGATGTCTAATTAGAAATACGTAGCATATAAGCATCGAGAAACACAATCGAGAATCGAATGAATTGTAATCAAATGACTCGTTGTCGAATAAAAACTAAGTCATATAAGATCAGGATTAAAAAGGAATCGTGAGCAATTCAAGTTCTCGAAAAATATAGAATCGAGAATAAAGAAAGCCAATGGGGACATCGAGATTTTGGCCAAATCGTGAAGGGAAGTAAGTCGAATGCACGTATAGAGAGCAGCTTTTGAAATCATGGGTAAAAGTCGGAGATCGTGAGAACGTGGGAAACTAGAAGATAAACCGCCATACGCACGTAGAATGTGGTAGCAGTCGTATTAACTCGCTTCTTAGAAGGCTTGAAGGATGCCCTATAAATAGAGCAAAGAAGGAAGGAACAAGGGGAGCAAAGATTGGCGAGCACGTAACCGAGTAGTGAAAAGTCTACCGGAGAAACGACGAACACCATGAAGCTTCCGCGGTCCGGATTTCCTCGCTCACGGAGTACATTTATCGCTTCAGTATTTTCCTTGGTAATTTACTTTGATGCAACTTAAATTCAATAGTTTTATGTTTCGTATTTCGATTCCTTGTCCATTTCAATTCAATGAAAATTTGAGTTTCGCATTTAGATTTCCCGTTATTTAACATTCTCGCAAATCTCAATTTCCCGTCATTTACTTTTCTTGCAATCTCGATTTCTTGTCAGTTATATTTGTGTTGTTTTCGATTCCTCGCTATTTATAATTAATGCAAGTTTGGGGTTCTCGCATTTTACATTTCCTCGCAATTTAATATTCTCGCTTTTCTATTCGATAGTCTAAATTTTTTTGATACTTTAAATACAAAATACCAAAAACAGTATTTTCGATATCCCGAAGTTTTCGATTTTCATACACGTTTTCGATTGAAAACCAAAGTGCTAGCCTAAGTAAAAAGAGCTTACGTGGTAGGATTTTGATTAGGACCAAAACACCCTTAGAATCGAAATCGATTGAAATTCCACCGAAAACACTTACATAGTATTAAACAAGGATATTTAAATATAATAGGTTAATATTTAATATTTATTAAATGTTCCTTATGTCATATGTAGTTGCTTAATGTAAACAATGTTTTTTGACAAATTTGATTACTAAATCGACGAAATGACATGACATTTTGTTACTCCTTTGTATCTACAAAATCTATGTTATAAGAATCATAATTTGATTACTAAATCGAAGAAATGACATGATATTTTAAAATATATTTTTATCAATGAAGTTTAATTATTTATAAGAATCATAATTGTCAAGATTTGTATATCTCAAAATTTCTGATTTTCAGTTATATAAAAAAAAATCTCTCGTATCAAACATCTTATGTGATACTGTTACACGACTCACAGATTTCATTAATGGTTTATTTATTTTTACATTGAATGTAATTGAGTGTGAATTGTATTTTTCATATTGCTTTTATTTAGATACTTATTATAGTAATATTTATATTATAAAATAATGTACCCAGCTATGGACAGAATTACTTCCTCTATTTTTCGTTGTTATAATCATTACTTGTTTAGTCTTAAATATAAATTTGGGATTTTTTTTTATTTTATATTTGATAACAATTATAATACAAAAATAAATTGGATGCAAAGTTAGATCCTGACCAAACGTGGACAGAGAGGAAGCAGCAAATATTGATGTTAAATCTTGGTACCACTTTATAGAACCTGTTTTAGGAAATCCGTAGTCATGTGTTTCTTTTGGATGTCTTTTGTGAAGTGGCCAAATTTAGGTTGTTCCTAGTGCTATGCTTCTTTTGGTTGACTTTTGTGATCTAGGATAGTATAGTCCCGGAGAAAAGGGACACCTATCCGACAATGGCAAATTTCTTTGTAGGTTGTTTAATAAGTATTTGAGTTGTTAAATAAAATTTTATTTTTTAATAATAATTTCTAAAAATTTCTTTTACACATTTTTTCTTATTATTTTATGTTTTGGAAATTATAATAAAAAATATATTAGAAAACATTGATATACGTATTAAAAGCGTTCTAAGAAAAATGAATCCGAACCAGAAATCCGGAATGTATATTTGAGCAAAGTCCACGATATCATGTGTAGTTTTTAGTTGACTATTAAAATAAAATTTAATTATTTATATTTTTAACAATAAAAAGCATACAGTAGATATATAAAACGGGGAGAAAATATTGAACCTTGAGTCATTCTATTAATGGATATGTAGGTCGCTAAGATTTTTCAACCGGGTAACACAACTCGACTATGTACAATATTGTGAAAGAGTCATTCAATTGTCTGGTGCCTTTTATAACTTCTTTCCAGAAAATAACTTTTTAAATTCTAATATCCTTTAGAAAATACAATGTAAAGTATATTAAAAATCTTTTATATTATCCAATTTGAAAGCATTTCAGAAAAAAAAGTTTTAAAACAAACAATTGTTTTAATTTTTTTAATTATTTTTATGATAAAATTTATCATTATGAATAAGATTTTGAGTTTCTCCATTATTAGATGTCATGGATAAGTGCTGGAGAGATATAACAGATTCTTATTCTTATTTATGAGTTTGGATCCTTTCCAAACTCTCCCATCTCTATACTAATATATTAAATTATCAAAATAATTTATATAATTAATTTTTTTAATGTTCTTATGTTTAATAACCTTCATATATAAAATCAATAAGGTTTATAGTGAACCGACAAAAGAGAGGATGCAAATCCTAAAAATTAACGGAATATCTTTTATCGTTGCCAATATTATTAAAATATAATTCCTATATAATGTGTTATGGGAGAAAAGTATCAATTAAAAAAAAAACGTACTCATATACACGCACTCTAAGGAGAAATGAGAAAAAAACAAAATCTATATAGTCAAAAATGTGAAAAATCAGCATCGAACCATAATACCAACATCAATATATTGCTTCACCATATGAAAAATGAATTTGAAGATTACATTTTCATCCGTGTGGCACGTGCTAACACACAAGATACCCCAACAGCGTGAAGCATACCGTTGCAGTGCATACTACAGTTCGATTGGCCGTGGAAGGAACGTGTTCCCCTGTAAAGCTAGCTCCTAGTTAGCAATATATGTACATGAAACAGAATCAAAGTCATAGATTATATGACTTAACTAACACTCTTGTCTGAGCTAGCATCAAAGAGACATTGAACTCGCCTCAATGCTGTACATTGAGTTATCACTTAAGCTAAAGTTTGGTCTCTCTTCGTTCCACTTCAAAATCTCCTTCGCATATTTAAGTGCTGCATCAACACTATCAGGTTCCAGCCCATTCACCAAGGAGACATACATGTTTCGCCCTGTAAGAGATGAATAGAGCCTCTTAAACTTAACCGCTATGTAATAGGAAGCAAGCTGAGAAAGGGAGGGGCTATTGTTAATGCTGTTACTGTTGATGCCTGAGCGATGTCGACTAATTACTGGAAGAAAATCAGATAACCAGTCACACTTGGTCAGTGGAATTCGTTCAATTTTCTCCTCAAACTCATCTAGTTTGTTTAGTATCAGCAGAAAGTCCATTTGTTCGAAAGTAGGATGAGTAACTATGGCTTCGAAAAGCTTTCTGCTCAATATCATCTTGTTTGTGCGACAACCATTTCCATCAACAGAAAATTGATCGTAGTCGCTCAAGGAAACACAGAAAACGACCAATCCAACATCCTCAAACATTTCTAGCCACTTGCAATTTTCTGCTAGCCCTCTTGCATGTATTGTAATTAATTGATACCTGTAACGAAGGAGAACAAGAATGGTACAGATCAACAACATTATATAGCATCTTCAGCAATTGAATCAATTAGGGATAATCAGAAAATTTCTCATTTAACAACAGGAGCAAATCTTTTCACCCACCTAACTAACGAGTCATGTAGATCAGCAATGTCGACAGTTTCCTCGGGAGCTGATTGAGGAAATGAAAACTCTACAGAAGCCATCCCATTGGATGAAGTAACTCCTTCAGCATAGAGAATATCTAAATCCGAGGGTTCATAATCAGTCCTCAATATCTCAATAGCCTAAGCAAAGAATTGAAATGTCAGTATCTCCAAGCCACTAACACAACAATTTGTTTCAAGAGTAAACAAACACATAAAGGAAACATTAAGAAAATAAGGGTGCAAATTTTGTATAACTATTACTGAAGCACTCTAATGCTTAATAGTGGATACAAAGCAGGTTGAGTTTGGTTTTTAGCAGATAATTTAGCTTACATTAACCAGAAGCCTAAAAATTAAACTTAGGTCTAGCCGAGCAAATAAGCCATGAGAGCAAAAACTATATGCCAAGCTCATTTGGATCAAATACATTGAGTTTATCATTCACATTCATACGATATAAATTTAAAAGAAGATTTATTCCTGCCTAATGGAGGATCCCATTATCTTTGATAACCCAAAATTTACCGTATTTTCTCTTTTTGCAGAATCATCCAGAAAAGATATATAGAGTGTTCTAACATTTTTTTATATTCAAGTGAATAGAAAATACATGTCAATGGTCATTCAATTCAAAACTCATGCACTTAAGCGAACAAGAGTACATGCATAGATTAAACTTTTGATGAAAATAAGCAAAAAACAACAGAATGATCTATACCCGCTCTAAAAAATAACTGGCAACACTGGGCAGCAATTCTATTTCACTTCTTCTTTCATATGTAGCCTTAATGGCAGCATCATTCCATAACTCCTCAATCAGTGGAGCATACTCACGAGTAGCAGCTGGGAAGATAGCATCAAGCTTGCCCGAAACCATGGTTTTCAGAAGCCAGTCAGAGAATGCCTTTAGTCTTGTGCCAATGGAATAAATTGTCTTGTTGCCATGTTTTGGACTGGTTCCTGAACCATAATGATATCAACCAATCTATAATACAAAAGGACAAGCTAAATGTGAAATCTAATTGTCTCCTATTCAGGAATTTGCAATCATGTATTATTTATGCCACTATCAGTTGCACATCAACATATTTAATGTATCTTATACAATAAATATTTTATGTTCAAAGCAATTGGAACGATTTAAGTGAAGGGGCTAAAAACTATGAAGTATGAAACATAATGCCACCATAAGAACGCATATAAGCTTAATGAATAACATTGAGACCAACAACTAGATGGTGCAGTGTCAATGACTTGATGTATCAGATGTGGTGCTATAAAAGGAAGAAAGCTTATTGTCATTTTTGCGGGAGGAGTGCAGAGAAGGCAGATATTAGAAGTCATACCTGTAGTTTCAAGCACAGAAGATTGACTTTTCTTTAAAATCCCCAGGCTTTCTTCTTCAAAACGCTCACGACCCTCAAGGAGTATGCCAAGATAGGCGTAGACATTGGTCTGAATGGTCAACTTTATACTTCCACGTTCATCATCTGAGAAGGGAGTGCTTTTGTAAAGAATCTTGGCCTGACATGAGCATTTAATATTCAATAAATACATCGATTTCTTGGCTTTCAGCAGCAGCATGCTTGTAGACAAAGGCAGACAATGTAGGTAATTATTGGAAGTAATTTCATCCATTTTTTTATGTAGCAGCACATTGATAAGCATTAAATAGAACTTAGACACTCCTAAACAGTTCGAAATAATAAAGCTTCAAGTACCTGTGCATAAGCATATAGCATTCACCACTACTCATTAAACTTTAGATTACTCCCAGAAACTTTTTCCTTGTTTGTTTCTTTTCAAATTGAATTAAGAGATGATAGTTTTGATGAACATATGCTCATGACCATAGATAGCCTTACATGTGTATTTTTTCTCCTCCCCAGAGAAAGTTCTTCCATGACACAAAATACGTAAGAATAAACTAACTTATAAATGAAAAATCACCTGCTTGAAAATAGTGCTTGTTCCCGACCCAGTATAACCAAGTAAGAGGAGCTTATGAACTATTCCATGCTCAAAGTGATCAGGAACTGGTCTGGTAACCAGATTGGAGGATAGAAACCCACATGAATTTGAACATTTAGAATTAGATGGAACTGGCAGGGACAGTAAAGCACATACAAGCTTCGTTCCAGCCTAACAAGTGAAATAAAAGAGTGCAATAATGCGATTTGAAATTGGCTTAATAATAGATAAATAAGCAGAAAAACAAAAATAATAAAACATTACCTTTCCCCAAATACCCCCTTTTGTATTTTTCTGTCCTTCTTCTTGGTACGAACCATCCTCGTTGACCCAAAAATGTGGGTTACCAGCACACTGAACTCCTGCCAACTGCTCAAACAAACAAAAAAAATCCTCTCAACACCACCTATTTTTTTACCAAAAAAGATAGTAATAACTAAAAAAATAACAACCATAATTGAAAAGCAAGATAGATCACAGAGCTTTTCAAAATGTTCTATTCTTTTTAAATGTATTGAAATTCCAACCTGCAACATTCGAAGCTCAACTTTTGTTATTTCTCGGCCATTAATGAAAACCTGCGTGTTTCCATTGCTAGCATCCGGTTTGATGGGACCCCCAACATTCAGATGCGGACTAATAATTCTACAAGGCTTCTGTCCTTCCTGCGAAATTCACACAAACAAACAATCAGCACAGTAAAACTAAAAAATTTAACACAAAACTATTTTCTCCCAAAATATACATGCTTACCTTCCCCCAAAAACCAGACACCTTATCATACCAATAATTACCGGGCTTCAAATTCTTCGGAGGGTTAGCACAACTCTGCAACGTGACAAGTTCCTCAAAAGAAAGAGCGTTTCCATTCACACAAATATACTCAGGTGGAAGCTGGTTCACTTCACAAAACCTCTCCGCCTTCATAATCTGTCTAATCTCCAAATGATTAAGCAATCTCTTCAAAATCCGTGAGCACTTTCCCAAACTGCCCCTCTTAGATTCATCAATAGGAAACCCAATGCAACCAACACATTTGCGACCTTCCGGCATCGAACCCATTGCTCTCAACACACAACTCCCACAATACTTAGCATCACACACGAGACACACTTCTTTCTCCGTTAACCTATTTCCTTTCAAGCAATGATAGCACGAACCTCTCTTCCCCTTCCTCGCACTCTCTCGCTTAACCTTCTCTTTCGCTTCGCACTCCTCCACCTCGAAACACACCACAGGTCCTCGTTTACCGCCACATTCAGGTTCGGGTTCGTTAGTTTCCAAAGGAGAATTGTGAGACGATGGATAATCGGAACTCAACGTGGAAGCGTAATCTTGCTGGCTCGAATCGTTGAAATCCAAACTCTCCTTCTCGCAATTTGAATGCCTCAACAACAACGTGCTCGAGTTTCTCATCGTTCCATGATTGTCAGAAAACGAGTTTTCGCTACTCAACTCGCACGCGTCATTGGCTTCCGCGGCGGCGTCTTCGAAGGCGATCACGGACGTCGGAGAGACCGTGGTTCTGCCGGAGCCTCTGTCGTTGCTCCGGTCGAAGGCGATCACCGACGTCGGAGAAACAGCGGACTCAGAGTTTGGCGTTTTCAGCTCCTTCGAGAATTGAAGCTCCGGGGCCGAGAGTGGTTGCACCACCGGCAAAGAAAGCTCGTCAGAGAACGAAACCTGCGATACCGCAACTGCCGCAGCCACCGGAATGTTGTCGACGGTGATCGGGACGGCCCGCGGAAGATCGTATGCCGGCGTTGGTCCGTTGTAGGCGACGGCGAACGAGTACTCTTCTTCCTCGTCGGAGGCGACGTCAGCGATGACCGTCATTGTCCTCACCGGCGACATGATTGCCCTAATTTAAACGGCGAGGCAACATTGACGAAAGAAACTAGCAAAAGGTGAATGAAAGTATGAAACTGTGAGTTCAATCAAGTTGGCACCAAAACAATAGAAATTGAACTTTCAAAATAAAGGCAGAAAATGAATATTTTATTTGTGTTGGAAAGAATAAAGATGGTTAAGACTTAACAGGCGAATAGAAACAGTTAGAGAAAGAAAAGGAGACCTAATTTTAAGTCGGAAGAAGAAAAAAAGCAAGAGAGGGTGATATCTTTTCTCGAGAATGCAGCAACGAAAAGTGTGGATTCCGATTTGGCGTAGGATTGGATGTTCAAATTTGAAAGTAGAGAGAAGAAAAGAGGGTGAGAGGGGGAAAGGAGAAAAATGAGTAATCGGAAGCAGTGTGTGCAGTGCAGTGGTGACGAAGGTTGAAAAAACGAAAAAGAAGAAGGGCAAAGAGGTGGGAGTGGAATCTTTTGTTTGGTTTTTAAATTTAGTATTTAGTTTTTTGTGCATGTGGGGTCGGAGGTGGCGTCCTTTTGCAGAGTGTAATTAGTATCGGAGTTTTTGGCTTGTGGTGGCTGCAATGTAGGGATGGCAGAAGCTGGGAGGGACCATCCCTAGAGCATAATGGCTGAATCCAATCGCTTACTTACCACGGGCTCCACGTGAAGCTTTTAAGTGCCAAATGGAGTCCAACTCCGATCCTCTCCTCTCACTCACACCTTCAACCATTCATTCACTCCTTCCTTCCTCAACTTCCCATCCTTCTAATTCTAAATCAAACTAGAGTGAAAGGAATTTTGACAAATGTTCAATTGTATCAATCGTCTAAAATGATAAATGTTTCACTTTCGCGTCTTTTATAGTAAATTTTCAATATATTATTATTTTGAATTTCTTCTTAATATTTCATAATTATATTATTATAACAGAAACCCAAATAACTCGTTCATGAGAAAAAATATCAAACGTTCACACCAAATTTAAGAATCCTATGAGCTATGCTTCGATTAACATTGGTTTTACTCTTACAAAGTGTTAGGTGTCTTTGACGGGATGATAGATGGAAAGGAGAGGAAATAAATTTAATAATTTCGTGAGGAGGATGGTAAACAATCATTTACTTTTTATGTCCATAAATTCTTACGAAATAAGATTATAATTAGATATTATATTATCTAAATAATTTACTTTTTTATTAAATTAATCAAATTATACCAATTTTTTAAAGATATTCATATATTTTTATTCTTCTAATTTTTCTCAAATTACTTTTTTTCTATATATTTATTTCTCTCTTAAAAACCAACTTGACATTAAAGTATTAAAGTAATTTTTGAAAAGAAACTTCTTATGCCTTTTATTCCTAATATATTGTTAGAAGACTCGTACTGGTAGAGGCACCTTAAATATGAAGCAACTGTTATCTGTGTTCTGCGTTATACAATGAATTTAACATAAATCTGTAAGGAAATGTAGATTATTGCCATTTGGGTTTTTGCTATTTTTATAGGTTTTGCTTCCATAATTGGAGTTATGTCATATGAAGTGTTTTGATGATAGAGAAGTCTCACTTGATCTTTGAGGGTAAAACCTATACTTTGTGTTTATGAAAAAAATTATAATGTTCAATATATTTTTGGAAAAGGGTTTCATGGCAGATAATTTATTGAAATATAACAAATTACTTCTTTCTTGAAAAGTTAACACATTCACAAATAAATCAATTATATTATATGAATGAATAATATATTAGTTTGCTCATTTTTCAAACTTTTTTTTAAATGGCAAATAATTGATTATTTTTGTTAGTTTTATGAGCAACAAACTTAACTATATTTTTCGTTGTGACATGGTTTTAATCACGGAAGAGGGTTACTTAGAGTAAGAGAGAGTTACGAAAACCTTGAGAGAAACTAAATCATCATTTTTTTATGTCAAATGCTGAATTTTGAAGTGATGTATAGATCTATTGCAAGATCATAAGTCATCAACTTTATACATATCATTTCCACTTAATTTTTCCACCATTCAATGAATGCCTCTTCAAAAGCCGAATCCAACAATTTGTTTCTTTCCAATTCCAATGGAAAAAGAAAAACTCACCAATTTGTCAACCTGCGGATGGAAAAACAGCATCATAAAATCCTCTAGAATACTTTCTATGGTGAAGCAAAACTTAGTGGGTGAGGCCAACAATGATTATTACCCGTACGAAAAAATGAATTAAAAATTTTGAACCAGAGAAAAAAAAACACCTATTAATCATTTGCTATCTAAAATTATGTAATTAGCTATTTATCTAATTAGATGAGATCATCAGAAGGTATTAAAAAGGGTAGCATAATAGAATAAGGAACTGGTAGCATATCCTTCAATTATTGCATGACCACAATACAACGTAATTTGATTTTCCTCTTATCTTCCAAAATATTTGTTCATGTCATAGCAGAATTGAAAAAAATAGAACAAGGAGTTTTTTTTTGTTTGGGTGCTCCACATCAGTTATGTTGACGAGGGTGGGTGCAATATACGATATCGTGAGTTGCAGGAGCGTTCACTGCGAAATTTTGTTGGCACAGAGAATGAAGAAAAAAAGTCTTAATCATATGGGATTCAATCCAGAGGAAGATACTACCAGTCATGCAATAATGTCTTAGTCTTTCTTGGTGCTCAAAAGGAGGGAGTTACATGTGAGTTTACAATAATTGTTCTTTTTAATTGTTAATTAATATTTGTAGTAGAGATTTATAACGTTTTTTTTTCTCTGTTGTGTCTTATAGTAACTTATAATTTTAGGTTAAATATGCTATTTTACTTTTGTATCTCTTGTGAAAATTAATTTCGTGTCTTTAAACTTAATATATATATATATATATATATATATATATATATATATATATATATATATATATATATATATATATATATATATATGAAGTTAGTATTTTTATCAGTTTTATAATAATAAATTTTTATTAAACAACAAATTTAGATATAAAAAATGGTTGAAATCACATTTAGTTTTTAATTAATTTTTTAACGAAAAAAATTATAATTAAACATTAATTTTAGATATTAAGAAAAATTACTGACACATATTTTTAAAAGCTTGAATATCAAATTGGTTCATTTGAAAAATGTAAACATAAAAAGTTTATAAAGATAAAAAATAATTTTTCCCGTTTTTTTTATGCAGATGTTGTATTTATTGCGAGCATGCAAATTAATTTTCTGAATTATGTTGTTATTATTTTGTAGGTTTTTTTTCAGTGTAGTGTGAGTTGGTCATGATGCTATTGATTTCATTACATTGTGTGAAGTCTGGCTGTTGGAAGGTTACAACTTACAATTTCAATACATTAATTACGTGGGTGACCACATAATTAAAAAGAAAAAATAAATAAATAACAAACAATGAATGTAGTAATGTGAATATATAGAATCATCATTACTGTAATGGTGCATATTTATTTAATATGCATTTAATACTATTTTAATTTACCATTTTTGTTTGTTTCATTGTATTTAATTTTTCTTATCCAGAGTCAGGGCACTCACTGGTGAGCAGGAGCCAATAAATTAACATAAAAGTAAAAATCATTTTGGAAAAGCACAACATATTGCCCAATTTGTCGCTTCTTGTTCTCGCTTTTTGCCTTAAAAATAGGACCAATCGTTATCGACAGGCTTCATTACCAGACAGTCGATTAAAAAGGATTGAAGTATCTGTAAAAGTCCCATGGGAACAAAAACAAGAGAAAAAAACAGATACCCATGAAAAAAAGCACGTTCATTCCACTATGCTCGATTCCGTTCTTACCTCGATTGAAATGCTCATATTTAACCAACAAATTATGTGGACAAGGAAAACACCAATTGGATGGTATGGTGAAGTATGGCATGAAAATGAACACTACATTTTTACAGAAGCTGGAAATCCTTTTGTATGCAAAGGAAGCTAAGCATATATCAGTAGAAGTTCTACCCATACAATCTTGTTTTGAAGTACACCATGGCTTCCCGATATGTAACAAATCTCTAAAGCCAACTCTACAAGCAGCTCAAAAAACAAAATAGGACAATTAAAATGGTAAGCAACAAGAAGCATGAATTAACAAATCCACCCCGCTTGCAGGCTTTGATGCAGAAAATAAGTTTGTGTCTAGGAGCTTACAAATCATCATCAATCAATCCAATCTTTACGCAGCCTTAACTGCTGCTCCCTTCTGAAAACTTCTCACAACTAATCCTTCATGTTCAATCTCCAAAAATGAATAAATCACTGCCGACTTTGTTTCTCATGTCTCAGAGCCTTCTTGAACAGTAGGAAGACTTCCTTCTCTAATAAATGTTGGGTTGAGAAACTTAGCAACAAAAGCCCACAATTTATATACATCCTCAAAATTCGAAAGAAAGCCCAGTGAAGCCGTGACAACTTCAAGCCTGACAAAGCTACCTTTTCCATCACGCCGACCATTCTCCATTGGCCTGCAAAGAGTTGTGTCTTCAAGATTCGCAGCTCCTCGATGCTGTCTTGTGCTATCAAGAATCTGTATATGACTAAGAAAACCAAGACCAAGAGAGATTCCTTCTTTTTCAGCAAGTTTTTGAACAATCTCTGGGTTGATTAGCCCCCTACTTCTGTCCCTCACATTGAAAGCAACAGCTGCACCTCTTTCATATTTTATTTTTGGACCATAGATGTGGACAAGATTTGCCTTTGCACCGCTATCAGACGCAGGCAACTTCAGTTGCAGTAACGAGGTAACAAGCCAATTTATCAAAAACCGAAGTCTAAGTGTAGTTTTATTGAGACCAAGCATATTAACATGATCAATATGACGACACGTTATCTCTGGTTCCCTCCTGCCCCAGTCCTGTTCGTCACCATATTCTCCATCACTTGTCACCTCTTCATCATCAAAGCTAGTTGCAGATATGTCACCTGCTTCTACGGTCTGGCTTAGGTACTCTTTACGATTATCTTCCATGCTAAATGA